ATCTCCCCCCCTCACTTCGCAGCTGTACAATCCCTCGTCCGTGGTGTTGGCATTACCACCCGCCGCCACCGCCTCCTCATTCTCCGCCGCCGCCTCCACCACCGCCTTCAACACGTCAGCCGCCAGGGGAGCACCCTCACTCAGTGCTACAGCCCCGTAGTTGGCGCACTCGGATAGGGCCCCCGGCCGCGGGGCGACACAGCGCTGCCGGTCCAGGGTAAACCGAATGGGGTACCTAAGGGGGGAGTTGTCCGTTGGCCGTTGGTTTATAATGGTTGTTAGTTGCGTTGTTGATTTCGGATAGTTATGGTAGTTAAGGGTGCGTTGGGAAAGGGGGAAGGCGTGTCGTGGGGTTTTTTAAGAGGGCTACTAGGAGGGAAGTGAGGTGAGCGTGGAAGGTGTAACCGTTGAGGAGGCTGTTGGGAGGATCGATCTGAGAGCTGTCGAGCTGCACGGAGTGGCTGCTGCTGTACGTGTGGGTGTTCCTCCTTAGGCTGTGTTTTTTTACGGCGCTCTTCGTGGACCTCATTTATCCCCCCTAAGGGACCTCAGGGGAAGTAGGAGGCGTGTGGAAAAGGACGCAATCCAAACACTCCTTTGGGTGTCATCTGTCTCCGGTCCCCTGGTCTGTTGGGCTCGGGTGAGGGGAACACTGTTGTGTTTTTTCCCCGGCGGTTCTCTCCACAACCCCCCTCACCCCACCTGGCGGTTCTCTCCACAACCCCCCTCACCCCACCTGGCGGTTCCCTCCACAACCCCCCTCACCCCACCTGGCGGTTCTCTCCACAACCCCCCTCACCCCGCACCAGAGCAGAAGCCAAGAAAGGTGGCACCCCATCCCAACCCAAGCTGATTCCCAAAATCCGAGTAACACAAGTCATTGCATGCTGTGCCGTAATGTGTGTTTTTTCTTACAGATGTGCACACAGACAGACAAATAGATGAGACAGACAGGCAGACGAACGGGCCAACAGACAGACAGACAGGCAGACAGACAGACAGCGGGAATACGAACCTTGGCTGTAGCGTGGGGGGCGGCACGTAGGTTGGTACGCAGATCTCCAGCTCCCCCTCCGCCACCTGACACACTTCCTTGCCGACAGCAGCCGCGCCACCGCCAGAAGAACCAGCAGCACGTGCCCTAGTAGTGCTACTGCCGGGCCTGAGGGTGCTGCTGCTGCTGCTACTGCTACTGCTACTGCCGCTGCTAATGCTCATGTTGATGTTCGTACTGGAGGGAGAAGGTACGACACAGTCCGTACGGAAGAGCGCTCCAAACTGGAAGGGCACCTGTCGCTCGTTTCACCACACAGGGGATGGAGGTGTTGATGAGTATGATGATATGTGGTATGTGTTACGAGATGTATGTCGCATCCAAAATATTGTTTGGCGAGTGGCCGCAGAGTTTGGGGAGTGTTAACGCAAAAGACATATGTACGGAAATGAATGCGCGCGCGTCTCTGTGTGTGTATGCGTATGAATTGCGCTGACGGTGCCTTTATTCATAAGCTATATAGCCTTTTTTTCACGTACGACATACATACATACATACATACCTGACAAACGGCGCCGGTGGCGGTCATGCGGGGGGGCGGCGGACACACGAGCCACAGGTCCTCCTGTGTTTGGCACGCATCCACACCCTGTACGGCAATCCAGGACGAGAAGAAAGCAATACAAGTTGGCGAGGCGAACTAGGATATTACACATCGAAAACTACTGAAGTAGAAGTATCGGATTCGTAGGGTTCTCGCCAAAGATCTCACAACAAAGATCACACCGGGGGGATGCGAGCCTGGAGAAAGGCCGGGGTACCTCAGCACGCCACTCTTCCCCCCCCCCCCTTAAGGGGCTCCCAGGCTCCCACACCCCCACCCCCACCCACACTCCCACCATCAGGTTGATACACTGCAGAAAGTCCCGCTCCGTCCGGGAGCCTCCCCCCCCCCCACCACCGGCACCACCGCCTTGACCCGGGCTCCCCGGCGCGGTCGCGACGCCGCCACTCCGGCGGCTGGCTGAGACCAACGGCGACCTGCAGCCCGTCCTGTACGACGGTCGTACGACGGCTGGCGCGCACTCCATCAGGCTCGCGACCCGACCCGTGGGATCAGCGTCGGTGTCCAGGGAGGGGCACACTTCCACGCCCGCAAGATTGACGCAGTTGCTGTACGACACGTTGTCCATTACAAACGGAAAGACGCACAACTGTACGGGGAGGAGAAACAGGATGGTGTGGAGAAGTCTGGTTTTAGGGGAAATAGTTTTTGTAAACGCTGCTGTAAATCTTTTTTGTAAACGCTGCTTCTTTCTTTCTACAGCAAGCAGCAGCGTTTACAAAAAAGATCAATCGATGACATCTCAAAAGTGCGGTATGGATCGGCAACTCTGAAGGGGGGAAAGGAGGACGGGTCGTGTTCAACACAACGACGGAAAAAGAAACGAAAAACACACACATGGCGCGAGGAGCGGCTCGGCGAGAGGGGTATCTCCACTGGAGAGCGACAGCAAAGCGACACACCTGCCGGCCGTACACTCGTGCATATGGAGTGAAGGACTTCTACCGACGGTGTTCAAACAGGAAGCAACATTAGACAGGCGAGATTGAGAGAGAGAGAGGAGAGGGAGGTGCGGAAGAGAGAGGAGTCTTAAAAACTCCTTCAGAGGCACTCGACTGGTTCCGCTGCGGTGCGTTTCCGCATTATCGCCTGGTGAACAAACACTGTTTTTGAATAAACCCAAATTTGAAAAACCTGGGTGGAGTTGGGCAAAACCCTAATAGGAGTTTTTATCGTACCGAATACACATACACATACACACACACGAGCATCAGCAGCATCTTCTGGAAACATCTTCGCACGTATGGACGCACACGCATGCACGCGTACATACATACATACATACATACACGCACCTGGCCACCCACGGTTAGTCGCGGCATCGCGCCTCCTCCTGGACCCAACATAACACCGTCCGGCAGGTTGTACGACTGAAGTTGCTGCTGTACGGCATCTGAGGTTGGGGCGCTGTCGTCCCCGACATCGACGGTCATTGGGATAGGTGTTTGACCGCCGCCACTGCTACTGCCACTGCTACTGCTACTGAAGTCATTGCTACTGCCGGCGCTGCTGCTGGTGCTGCTGCCACTGCTGCTGTTGATGGAAAGCGTGTCGGAAATCGGGACATCTCCCGCTTTTTCGTCGATCGGTACGACACCGAGTTTCCTGGAAATCTTGCAAGGTTCAATGCCGCCACCCTGCGGGTTTTAGGGTTTTAGGGTTTTAGGATTTAAATTTAAAAAATGCCACACACTCTCATGAACGGACTTCATTGTTTTGAGAGACGTCGTTCTGCTTTTAATGAGAGTAATGCCACACAGATTTGGAAACGAAAAACATAATTACCCTATTAACACAAATTAGGCTGCTTTCGCCTCCAGCATAGTTCTCATGAAGATCTCGTGGTTTCATTTGCCATTACGTAAATCGGCACCGCCAACTTCCAACGCTTTTTACATTCCGGGAGCAGCACGCACCTCTACAGGGCAGCTCAGCACGCCATCCATCGTCACACATCCGTACACTGTACGACCTCCGTACGACAGGGGGAAAACGCAGGGGTCGCCCGTGGTGGCCACTGCCGAGATGTAACCGCCTCCTGGGGTTTGAAGCACGGGTAGGGCAGGGGGAGGAACAAGTTTTCCGGAAGGACTGGGGTTAGGGTTTTGTGGTTTTCGGGTTTAAGGGTTTTATTATTATTGGTGCGTCGCAGTGCTTAGGGTTTTACGGGTAGGAGTGCAACCACTCGAGAAGGGAGACATCAGTTTTCATACTCGTCTTGTGTTTTAGGTGCGTGTGTCAGATTTTCATCTCCAATAGCCCTTTCCTCGCAGCTCCCCCTTTCCGTCCCACTCCCCACCCCCCAACCAATGGCCCCCAGGAACCCGACTCCCCTCACCTTCCACAACCTGCCCCGCCGGCATCAGTACGGCTTGTCGTTGGTAGCTGCCGTACAGCGACGCCACCTGCCATGGCTGTAGCGCCGCGTCGAAGATACTTAGAGCCGCAACGGAACCTTTGAAGTGGCGGCTGGGGTCCGCATCGGCTCGGCTGCACAGCACTATAGGGCCCGATAGCTGTGCAGGGTCTCCGCCTGTTACCTGCGTTTTAAAAAAAAGTGAGTGTACGACATGACAAACCGGCGACGGCGGTCATGATGGGCACACGGCATCAGCAGCAATATGTACGACTATAGGGCATGTTTAGACATGGCGAAAAAGAGGGAAATAGTGCAACAGAGTGTAAGTGCAAAGAATGTATACACGCCCACCTGGATTTTGGTGTCGCTCATGTTTGCCGTACTTCGTACGGCGCCTGGCAGCAGCTGCCCCCGCAGGACACCATCCACGTACAATGAGTAGCCGGGACCGGACCTGTTGGCAAATTATCTTGAATTGTCTAACAATCGAATCCCACATGTGCATCAACATACATACATACATACTGTATGTGTACCCGAAAAGCTGAACTGAAAATCGCAAAATAAAAGAAAGGAAGACATAACAAACAAAAACGACATCAACAAATGCGACACATAGGTCCCGCACATCCAAAACCTCATTTTGGCGTTGTACGGCACATGTACAACATTCCAAACACAGAGATGTACAACACTCACCAGTTCGTTGATAACGTCAGCATATGCCAACCGCCATCCGCAATGTCCACCCCGTCATCCCGCGGCGCTGCCCAGATGGGAATTTTTAAAAACAAAATAAAGGGGTTATTATTTTTATTTTTAATTTATCATTATAAAAGTTCTTAAGGAATGTTTTTTTATTTTTTGAAAATGGGATTTGGGTTTTAGGGTTTTTAGGGTTTTTAGGGTTTTTGAAGGGTGTTTGAAAATGGGATGCGTGGGGAAACTAAGGCAGGGCGCGGGATTATCTAAGGGGAGCTGTGCGGGTGTACTACACACAGGACAGGAAACGGAGCGCACGACACGGCACATACACAGCACGGCCCCCACTGACACGACACGGCATTTACATTTATCATTTACAATAATCGGCGGTGTGTACGTCCCTCCTCCCAGCCATATCACATCAAATATCGTACAATGCCACGTCATCATCGCACAGTAGTAACACATCCAAAAGCGGCAGCGACGCTCACCCCAGCGCTTGGGCCGGTCGTTTCCCACCGCTCCGTCACTGTCCAGATAGACTTCGCTGGTACGACCAAGGTTGACGTCATCGCCGTCACGGAGCATGCCACGTACGGAAACGCCGTACAAGGGACTGCCGACCTCAGGAATGAACATGTGAATCTACGGGTCCAGGGGGGAGGGTTTTACCCCCGGGGGGGAGGGAGGGGGAGATGTTTCCTCCGTGGCCCCAAACCACACAGAAACATACCCCATAAACGTACAGCCGTACACCAGAGCCCCAATTCACGAGTAATTAAGATAGCCGTACAGGCACCAAAACCACCAGCACAGAACCCACAAACCCAAATCACACGCACCTACCGTCCGGGGCACATCTGTTTCCACATGGCCCACTGCTAATATCACAGCAAACCCCCAAATCCCCAAAACCCTCCAAATCCCCAAAAATAAAACAGTTAACACCAATTAAAACATTGAAACGAGAAATTTATTAAAGTGATAAGCGCATATGACAAGACTTTAAAACCCAAATACATAACACTCGCACTCCGCACCTGGTTGGGCCCAAAGCTCTTGAAGGTTCCTCCAGCTATGTGGGAAAACACGTACTGCAGTCCCGCTGAGTCAGCTCCCTGCGGCGTCAAATCCTCCCGGCTCGTCCGTACCCACAAATTGATAGCCATTGGGCCCCGTGTGCCGTACGGTACGGCATCCAGTACGACACGACTCCGTGACGCGCGATCGCACTGGATGACCTGTCCGAAACGCGCATCTGGACCCCACGTGGCGTTGACCAACCGACCGCCGTACGCGCCCGCCGGCCAGGAGCGGAGTGACCCACGGGTCAGTGGGAAGTGTGCGGCGGGCGCCGGCCAATCGGCGGGCCAAGAGCTCGGCAGTAGCATTCCAGATGCCGGCGGCGTGCAGATGCCGAGGAGGGCAGTAGCGGACGCGGCGGCGTCGATGGCGGCGGCGGCGGCAGCCGGGGTGTAGATACGGGTTGTCGTATTACTGCCGTTCCCGTTGCCGCTGCGGCTGCTACTGCCGCTACCGCCCGTGACCCGCATCCAGGCGTCCATAGGGTCAGTGCGAATCCGGGACGGAATGGCGGCGCAGACCTACGGGCCCCGCATAGGGAACCGGGACACGGACCCATGGGTCGGTCGTCGCTGATCCATAATTTGCAAGGTTTTAATTTTAAGAGACAAAAATATGGAAGGCCTGTGTTAAAATGCTCTAAAGCTGTTATGTAGAAAAGTTATGTTAGAGCATTTAGTAAAATACAGGTCAAAAAGGCCTCTTCCTAATAACTTAAATATTAAGGTACCTGAGACAAGTAATTATATAGCTATGAATATGTGGTAAAGCGCGAAATATGTGCGGGGAATAAAAGCCTAATGGAAGGGAAAGACGCGACGACGTGTAACACAGGTTCTTGAAGTGTTTAAATTTGTTTTTTTATTTATTTAAAAAAGGCGCAAAATGAGCATATGCTTGAGCGCGCACGCGCGCAAATATACAATCACACATCCTAACACAGCACACCAGCCACATGCCGTACACCAGTAACCCTACACCTCTTAACCCTTGTCCCCTCCCTCTACCCCCCGCCCCCCCCCCCACACACACGCAGTTCATGTCACCCACCAGCCCTGAGTCGCAGAACGCCAGCCCCGCCTCTCGCCGGAGATCCAAGCTGCACGGCATGCCGGCGTTCCGCTTGTACGACACCCCGGTCAGCGCCGCCACCAACGCCTCCGTCAGGGCCTCCGCAAACGCCGATCTGCTGGCGTTCGTAGCGGCGGCGGTGGCGGCGGACGACGATGACGTGTCAGGGCTGGCGGCGCCGCCAGGTGCCGTCGCCGCCTCCGCAAAAGGAGGCGGAGCCGGCGGCAGCGGCGGCGTTGTTGCTGACGGCGGTGACCCCGTCAATGTGCCGTACTCATTCGCTAGACGTGAGTCCGATTCATCCGCCGTGAGCCACTCCGGCGGCGTCAGCAACGTGCTGCCGTACCAGGGGTGCCGTCGGATCGGCAGCACTGGCGACGGTACGGCATCCTGGTCCCGAACCTGTCGTGGATGGGCGCCATCGCCAGGAGTCAGAGGAAGATGGGCGAACTGGAGGAAGATGGGCGAACTGGAGGAAGATGGGCGAACTGGCCGTACACTAAAACTAGCAGTGGGCCCTACACGTTAGGATGTTCGTAGTACTAATTGGTATTGCCGTACAAATTAAATCGTTGCAGCTCGAACACTTCCCCTGGGTTGCGCGTCATTCAAGCAGATTCCCCAATTCCCCCATGGAAACACCACTCACCGTGCCGTACGCTTTCCAATAGAACTCCTAACCCACTCTAGGACGGCCTGTGGCTGTACGGCAGTAACCAATCTGGCGGTTATTCCCACTTCTATGATATTGCCGCCTCCTAACTCCCCCTCAAACTAAAAACACCACTTACCATGTCGTACAACGTCGCCACATCCGTCGCATCTAGCACTGCGTCAAACACGGCCAAGTTGGCCAACTGACCGCCGTACGCCCTGCTGTACGGCCCTCCGTACCGCCCGCACAGCAGCAAGGGGCCTCCAAGGGTGAGCGGATCGCCGCCGTCAATCTCCGCCCTCGCACTTGCATTCCACACCCTAGAAGGGTCGTACCCTGTGTACGGAACGAAAACAAGTTACCTCATCGATTAGCTCTTGAAGTACATACATACATACGTACACACATATACGTAAATACCGCATAAATTGGCATTTGAAAAAGCACGGCATTGCATCCATGTGTGCTTCCACCACCCCAAAACCGCACTGAACGTCAACTAAAACTCGATTAAAACCTACAAAACCCACTGGGTAAACTAAATCTTTTCCAACTACCTGGTGGGTAACGAGAAGAAGGTATCTGTACGGCAAGACTTCCATCGACGTACATGCGCCATCCTCGACCTCCACTCGGCTGGCTGCTGATCGTGATCATGTGCCAGTCGCCGTCCGTGAGATTCCAGGGCCTTACGGTTTTAGGGTTTTAGGGTTTTAGGGTTTTAAGGTTTTTTAAAACAGGGAAAAGTGGAGGATCAACGGGAGGGCAACGGGAAGGAAAGCCCGACGATGACAAGGCGCAAAACGCCCCTTCAAACTCCTTTTGAAGTCTTTTTTGAAATCGCTCCAGAAGATTTTTTGCTAGTTAAGAAACCACGCTGTGCACGGGCTTGACTAGTACGACGAGTGCAACGATACGAATGTACCGCGTTCCCACCTGTACTGCAACCTGGTCCCACCTGTACTGCAACCTGGTCCCACCTGTACTGCAACCTGGTCCCACCTGTACTACAACCTGGTCCCACCTGTACTGCAACCTGGTCCCACCTGTACTACAACCTGGTCCCACCTGTACTGCAACCTGGTCCCACCTGTACTGCAACCTGGTCCCACCTGTACTGCAACCTGGTCTGGTCGTTATCCGCCACCTGACCGTCGCTGTCCAGATAAACAACTCCCCGGCCGTCATTGGAGTCCTTGACGTACGCTCGTGCAATGCCGTACAACGGAGACGTACGCGGCGCCAGATACACTGCGATCTACGACCGGTAGGAGTTTTGTGATACAGAAAAATCATTTTTGTGTTTTCTTAGGATTTCCTGATGCCGCAGCTGGCGGAACCTAGTGCAGCGGTGGACACTGGTCTTTTGCCGCCGCTAACATAAAAGACATATATGTCCTTCCCACACCTCCATCCCTTGACGAAAACCTTGACCCCCAACACTCAAAATTCAAACGCAAACTCGTACATACACACAGGAGATGTTCATTTACTCGGCTATCCGTATGTGCCATAGCGTTGTGCACCTATTACAAATTAACCACATAACGACTAACCAACCAACTAACCAACCAACCAACCAACTAACCGCACCTGGTTTCGATCCATGGCCGTGTACCTGGACGCCTGGACGCTCAGCGGTTGGAGGTTGGCGTGAGTCAGCATATATTCGTACACTGGCGGTTGCCAAGCACCCCTGCTGCTGTTGCTGCCATCGTTACTACTGTCGCTGTTATTGCCGTACTCCGTACTCCCATCTGAAGGCCCTGGGGCGGTGTCCTCCGCGCGCTTGCGCATCCAAAAGTTGATGGTGAATGCGCCCGTACGACCGTACGTAATTCCCGGAATGGCAATGAGGGAGCTGGAGCCTAATCAGGCCCCCAACGGCGGTCGGGACGGGCGGGAAGAGAAAAAAAAACGGGACCTAGGTGTTTTACGGTTTTGAATGTTTAAAATATTTCGACACCGAATTCGCAACAGGCGGCACACTCACACACATACAGACACACACGTTCACACATACAGACACACAAACCGTCGTGGCTCAATCTGGTGGAGCACCGGGATAGGTAATCGGCAAGTCTGGAGTTAGAATTTCAGCGACGGCATCTTGCTTTCTATCGTACGGTTAGGTGCCCCTGGCCAGCGTCAGGCCCGGATCAACGTGTAACAGACACGACTGCTGGGCCGCCCTGTTGGCGACTGGCGGCTGGGGGGGCCTCTCGCGGCCTCACGGTCGGGGGGCTCGCCGCACAGCTACAGCTACAGCTACAGCTACAGCTACAGCTACAGCTACAGCTACAGCTACAGCTACAGCTACAGCAAACCAGGGGAGCCGTGTGGCTGTAGCGGCGGATTCGGAGAGGAGCGGCAGGGCAACAACAGCAGGCGCTGCAGTGCTGTCCCTAGCCGCGTGCACACACCGCTTCTGGTAGTGCCCAGTGGCGCAGCAGGCGGTGGTGATACGGCAGATCGCGCCCTACGTGCCCTACCCGGACCCATACCCCGAGCACACACACGCGCGTGTATGGCACCGGCGCAAAAGGCACCGGCAGGGCCGCAGCAGTGCGTGTGTGGGACGTGATCAGCCTCACAGCACACTGCCCGTGCCAGAAGGAATGTGCACGGCTGCGGGATTTCTGCAGGTCCCGCACTCCCCCCCCGCAATTCCCCCCCCCTCCCCCGCGCCCGAGGCCCGGTTGCAGCCCCCCCCACGGAGGGGTGAAAGCCGTCGCGAGAGCCGTCGTGCGGTGCCGCCGTCGAGACTTCTGGCAGCGGGTTCAGGACTTTGCAGAGCTCAGCATGCCAGGGACAGCGTGGGCCCCGACCATTCCATTTCATCGTGCCCGTGGTGGACGGGGGCGCCTGTGTTGCGTACCACCAGTAGGGCTGGGAGAGAAAGGGGGGAGGGGGAATAGGAGGAGAGGGGGTGCTGGGAGGGCACCGGTAGGTGGGTGGGCCATCCCGCTGGGCGGGGGGAGGGGATACGCCCCTGAGAGGGGTTTCAATTGTTGGGTTTACGGAGGGCTTTTCTCGTGGGAGGGAGATGGCTCGCCTCGCCACAGGTACTGCGCCAGGGCAGGTCGCAGGTGGCGTCCCTAGCCCCGTACAGGTAAACGGCTAGCGGCTAGCAGATAGTCCGTGCCCGGTCCCCGCGTTCCCCGTCGCATGCGTTCGGGAGGCGATTAGCGCGAGTTGCTTGAACCCTGCCCGCTCCCCCGCAACGAATTAAGAATCGGGTGAGAGACCCGGTGGGCTTCATATTAGTGAGCCCTCACCCCAAGAGCCGGATCAGGCCGAGGCTGGAGAGGAGTCGTGATTCGTGTTTCAAGCTCAGTGAACGCGAGATCGCGTGACGGAGCCTTGACTCGTGAGAGTGTGCGCACGTGCGACGCCTCCCAACCACCGGGGAAGAGAGCGGAGCTAGCGGACCTGCGGCTCTCGGCTGCTTAGGAGGGGGGACAGAGGCCCCTCGCCCGCCCGCGCCAGAGAGCCTAGGCGGTCTTCCCGTCGGGGCTGTACAGCAGCTCCTGGCCAGTGTCAGGCCCTGTCAGATACTTGTAACATTTAATACGCACACACTCTCACGCACACACATACACACACACCGCCGATCGGAATTTATCGTGGATTTCGTCATTACCAAATTATGTAGTGATAAAAATCAAAGGACTTTGCAACCACTTTGCAACCACTTTGCAACCACCTACCCTGATCGCATGTAATCGCGCCCGGGAAGAGCTCCTGCGTGTCCGCATCTGAGCTATTCACGTCCTCCGCGTACACGTTGCCCTGTACTATCAAACCGTCGTACGCGGATCCGGATCCCGGCGGCCAAGCAGACAGCGAGCCGTTGGTCAACGGGTAGAACACGACCGGTGCCGCCAGATCGGGGGGAATCGGGTTCCCACCCACTGGGTTTGCCATACATGTGCCTGCGTGAGTGCGTGCGTGTGTTTCGGGGCAGATAACGCGAAAATGGAAGAAGTGTCGTAAACTAACAGCATATTTGGCCCCTCGTTCGCTGTACAACATGTATTTGGTTCTAGTGAAATGTAGTAAAACAAGTTGAGCAACTTTTGTACATGGCTTTCAGGATAGAACGTTGAGCCAAAATACAGCTTCTCGCCTTCTTCCGCCTACACAATAATTAACCAACCGAAAACCATAACCCCAACCGATTTTACAACGGTTCCTAACCAATTATTAGACCATATTTTAACCCTCCCTGATTATGGCAGGCGGATTCTGCTGCGGGTGATCACAAAGTGCCATCTTCGCAGGCATTTTACATTTTACAAAAACGTCAAAACCGTACAAAACTACGACCTGCCGTACCTTGCTCCGCGGCGTTGTTGCGGTCGCTTGGGATGCAGCTGTAGCCCTTCGCGCAATCCGCATGGCCCCGTTGCCAGTCACAAAACCAACCGTCGGTCCCTTGGAGCTCATTATCCGAACCCGCGGTGGCAGAGGCGCCGCCGCCGCCGCCGCCGCCACGGCTACTGCCACTTCGGACGCTCCTGCCGCCGCCGCCGCCAAAACCGCCGACATCCGGCCCCGCGGCAGCGACGACTTCGGGCACGGTGACGGCGGTTTCATTGCTACTGCCAGCGGCGTCTGAAGGAAACGCTGTAGCGTTACTGCTGCCGTTGCCGATGCCGACGCCGACGATGGAGACGCCGCCGACGTCCGGGCCGCTACTGCCGCCGACGTCCGGGCCGCTACTGCCGCCGGCGTCGCTAAAGTTGTTGCTTGTGGAACTCTCATTGAAGCTGGAGGGTATCAGCGGCGGCGCCACTATAGCGGCACTGGAATTCGCTCCGCGGTTGTCCTGGTCGGCAGGCATAGGGCCTCCGCCGTCGACCGTCGGCGCGAGTACGGCGCCGTCAGGGCCCCCGGCGGCTACAACGTCCGGCGGCGCCCCGACCCCTGAAACTGGATTAGTAGTCATGGGACTGCTTGCGTTGCTAATGCCAAAGCCGAAGGAAACATTGGGTTTTGCTGTTGCTTCATCGCTGCCGCCGCCGCCGCCGCCGCCTGTGTCCGTGCCGGCGCTACCGCCGCCAGCGTCACCGGCTATGGTCCCAATGGCCCTACCAATACCCGTCGCCAGGTCAGAGATGACGTTGCCAACATCGCGCGCGACCTCTCCAGTTGTCTTCGGCGGCGGCGGTGGCGGTGGCGGTGGTAGCAGCTGTGGCGGCGGTGGTAGCAGCTGTGGCGGTTGCAGCGCCACCTCCGACGTTTGCGGATCTAAGGCTATCGGTGCGCCCGGATCTGGGTTTATCACAAACGGCGGCTCTGACAAGGTGGACGGTGACTGTCCTGATGATAAATCTGGTGGTGGTGGTGGTGGCGGTGGCTGTGGCGGCGGTGGCAGCGGTGGTGGCGGCGCTGCGGCAGCGGCACCGGAATCTCCGCCGCCGCTGTCGCCACCGCCGCCGCTGGCAGCATCTTGCGTGCCGGAAGAATTGCCCACCAGCTTCACCGCAAGGACATCGGCGCTCGGGACCTGTGAGGCGCAGGCGACACGGAGACCGAGATGGTACGCGGTTAGACGTTCTTGCGGTGCTCAAGGCATTCATTCCTTTTCCTTTTGGAGGCAAAATTATTCCTATACATTTTGAAAATCTTGCTCATCTCAAGGGAATGGATTTTTTGGTGAAGGTCAAATAGGGAGGAAAGAATTCCTCCTTCCCTCTCCTTGCAGAAAAAACTTTGCGGATTGCGCTTTTTAAGCTCTCTTTCTAGTTACAGAAAGAACGGGATCTCATCTGAGAGCGCCAACGCGATCCAAAGAACTACAGGTGCTAGCCAAAACTTGTCACAAAGCACATAAGCATGAGCTTTGAAATTTTTGAAATCAAAATATATACAAGCTTCTAGGAGTTTTTTAAGATCTGTGCAGCAGGCCGCGGATTCGAGTCACACCTGCAGCAAAGTCCTCGACCCATGGGTCGCTCGCCTGGAGAAAGTCCCAGCCTGGCCCGCAGCGGTCCCAGCCTGCCTCGAGCTGGCCGCTGCTGCCGCCTCCGCCGCCGCTTGTGCCGGACTACTCGCTCCCGCCAGCACCAGGACTACCGCAAGAAGCAGCAGCGGCAACAGCGTCCTCAGTCGTGAAAGACAGCTGGGCAAAGGCATCGCGACGCGGACCGGCCGTGCTGCCGCCGTCGCCAAAGACGCCGCCGCAGCTGCCACCGCCGCCGCTGCCCTTCTTTGGCGGACTCTCTCTCGACGGGAACTGATCAGTATCGGCGGCGGTACTGCCGCGCCGTCGGCGGCCATTTTGCGCTGTTGCAGATCGCGACGGTAATGTTCTCTGCTCCCGCTCCTGTGCTGCTGCGGCTATCGCCGCAGGACAAATTTGCTGCTGCTGCTGATGATGATGATGAGGCTGATGATGAGGCTGATGATGATGAGGCTGATGATGATAATTAGGAAAGGGACTTCTACTTGCTAGCTCCTCTCGCTGCTATTTGCGATAAGGACTCTCGTCATGCGTTCAGCAGTCTTGTTCAGCAGCAGGGATCTAAACCTGCAGTTGCCAAATGGGGTGGTCTCTATCCAGATCCTTCCTTCGCGAATCTATATACGTCAAAAGAGCACCCAGCACGATACGGCTAAGGCCAGCTAATTTGAGAAGGAGCCGTTGGCTGGACAAAATTTAGCTCTTGTGCGAACGGTAGAGCAGTATGCGTACCGTACTTTAAAAAGAAAATGTCAGCGATGTCTTCCGAAGTGCACGACGTTCACAAATTTTTTCTTCCGTGTCGCTGACAAGGCTAAGGACTTGGAGTTGGCTTGCACCTTTTCGGCTGACTGCCACTGTTGCTCCTCTGTGTGCGCATAAAAAGAAGCTCAACAGGGGCGACGCACAGATGACGCGTCCCAAAGCCTGCCGCCTACGGACTCCCGACGTGCTAAAATTAAATCTAGGCAGGGTTGCACGAAACAGGCTTGTTTATGGGAAGTGGGTTGCCGCTGCTGTCCAAGAACTCTGCCCTTCTGCCTGCGGGGTGGATGGTGGTGTGAAAGAATGGTACAAGAAATAACAATCCTTCAAGAGCTACAAGGAAATGAGCTAACAGAAACGAAGCGCCCGAAATGTAAGTAAACGGAGGAAATGCCGTGAACAAAGAGTTATGTAGCGGATTGCGCGACCTCCTCCTCCCACCGGCAAAACGCAAGGTTACAGGTCGTAGACGATGTGGTGGAGCGCTGCCCTCCACTTCAGCTCCACTTTCAGGCAGATAGATGGATAGGCACACAGACAGACAGGTCTCCGTTTGAAGGTTGAATGGATGTCTTTGACAGGCAGCTGGGGATCGAATACGCACACCTATCACGTTTTTAAGAGCCCTTCAGCCCTTTTCATTCTCCCACATGGTATTAAGGGTGCAACGGCAAATCAGACATGCACGGTCTGTCGTTTTTTCCCCTTCGTTCTTCTCTTCGCAACGTTTTTAGGATTTGGAAATGAAGCTGAAGAAAAATAAAGCGACACGAAGGTCGTCCAAGGTCCCATCGCTGGACATTTTGCGCAGTCTGTGGATTCACTGCGATCAGCAGTGTGCGCGATAGACACCCACGCAAGTATACAACGTCCTGAGAATCCGAGACACAATCCTGAGAATGGGATGCAGCCGTGCTGCGATCTATCATTTAATTATTGTATTCTTAGTCCCTAAGCTTGATAAGATACTCCTTGATAAGATGCAGCTGCAAAAAGAACGATCGGCGCGGAAGCTGAGTGCCGAGTGACCCGTGGGTCGTCCATCGCGGCAAAGTCTTCCCTTTTCTCGTTTGACGCGCGTGAGGCGCCATGATTGAAGAGCCCAGAAGGATCGCCGAAGCAGACCAACCGCAACAGTAGGTGGGTCCTTCGCAATGTCTCAGCAGTTCACCGCGACGATCAAGCGTACGGCAGTACGGAAAAGAGGCGTATCTCCGTAACTTCTATCCCCACGCCAACCGCTTCAGTATTATTTCCGAAACCACGCACTTCGCGTGTAACTGCGCAACTGTGACATGATATAGCAGGAAATCTTGGGTCTTCGTCCTTAATTTCGCATGCAACAGAAAACCTATATATTCGTCTTTTGCAAAGATCTACGTAGCTAGATAGCTCTATCCGAGATTGCTTAAGCATAAACTGTCAGCTACAAGCTGAAGCTCTACTGAGTGAAAGGCAGAATGCAGTGTAAGATCCCTTGGCAGCTGGCCTCCCCGCTTCCTGTCTCTACCATTCCTTGCACGATCAGCCAGCACGTTCGAGTCGACAGAGCCATGAGAATACGGTTATGGGAGACAGGAGCACAGAAACTTCCGGTGTGGGTGTTCTTGGTAGGCTATTTGTGCAGCCATGAGCCGCGTGGCTGTCCGGAATGTCTGTCTAGGACAATCAACGAAGATTGGGACACGCTCTTCAAGGTTTTAAATATGTGTTGCCAAGTACCGAACAGGCGATGGGCGTTAACGATTTGTTCGCTGTCCGAAGCCCTCATGGGCAGTAGCACCGATATTTTGAACAAGTGCGTATGAGCAACAGAGCGCCATGTGAAGCAAGTGATCTCGGCAAGCAAAGCCTTCACGCCTGCGTATCTGCAGTCCGAAAGGCTAAAGCATAGGTCATTGAACGAAGCCCAGCATTTCTGATGGCACATCTTTACTTACATGGCAAGAGAAATGGACTGGAGTTTCCGAGTAAGCATTCCGCGTATGGAAGGAATTCAACGTCCAACGGTATCAACCTCCTTGTCGTCGCGAGCATCTGCGAGGTTTAGCTAAAGCGCGGTACCTTAATCTTGTACCTTCATCGCAATCTTGTATCAAAACCCTGATACTTGCCTCTGCCATCTGCTTGCATAGACCTTAATAATTAGTCGCGCCGCTCGAAGCAGGCACAGGTTGTTCGACTGTGTTGGGGCTGCAAGTGACACGAATTGTTTGCATGAGATAAAATGGCAGAGTCTTGGGACCCGAAGACACGGGAGACCGTCAAAAAGATTCCATTCTTGACAGAGACTTCAGGGCCACGCGACAAGCAGAAATGGCAGGACCGCTTGAAACAGGTCGGATGACTGAAAGCTTTGTCTTGGCTCTCCATGGCATACAAGCTGGCAACTGGCCGGCAAAGTCCTGTGCAACCTGCTGACACGCAGGAGTTGCACGCCTTAATCACGTACATTAAGATGAACAAAGAATCGGACATGGACTGGTTCACGATACAACCAAGTGCAGACGGGACACATTGGAAGGGCAAATGCTGGTACGTGCACGAGCTCATCAAGTATGAATTCGATTTCCAGTTCGATATCCCAGCCACCTACCCGGATACGGCGCCAGAAATCGAAATTCCGGAGTTGGACGGCAAGACAGCAAAAATGTATCGAGGCGGGAAGATCTGCCTCACCATCCACTTCAAGCCCCTTTGGTCGAAAAACAGGTACGCAGAACTTTAAGCTATCCTAAGTATATAGAGACCAAGCGATAGCCCTTACGCTAAAGCCCCACAATATAAGTTGAAGCAGCCTGGCCTCCGCCGGTCTGCAGGGGGCCCTGGGGACACGACCCGCATTCCGTCCTTTAATGTCGAGACGTTTCCTAAACCGCCCCCCGCGGATCTTCTCCCAACTGCCGTCCACAGCCCCCACTTTGGCGTTGCCCACGCGCTGTGTCTGGGCTTGGCTCCCTGGCTGGCTGCCGAGGTGCCTTTCATGGCGGAGTCGGGAGTCATCAAGCCCAAGGTGTAACATAGCTGAGGTTGATGCAGCATGCGATAGAGCACGGGAACTGTTATCAGCCGGCCTGCTGTAGTGAGGCAGCTGCACAGTGCAGGGGGTTTAGTAGTGGTCAGCCTCTGGGACGTGGTGACTGCAGTCCTTGCTGGCTGTGGATGAGATAGGGAAGGTGAGAGACGAACCACAGACGAGTGAAGCTGATACCAGATACAGACGGATACTCCAGGAATAGGGAGGGGGAGAGAAATAGACAACGAAGGTTGGTGCGGGAGGGACAGGACATCGACGGCGACAGCTTGGGGACGAGGTAGAGGAGGAGGGGTAGGAGCTGCACTGGTGGCGGGGCTCCTCCCTTGATGGGGAGGTAGCAGTGTCAGAGGAGTGAGGGCGGGGGGGGAGAGACGGGCTGTTTAAGGGTGGCGATGTGGAGAGGCCTGTTGGTCTGGTTGGCTGATTTCCTGTTGGTTTGAGAAGATGAGGAGGTGGTGCCCCACCCCATCCCACCCCACCCCAACTCGGACCCCACTGGAGTACATCTAGACCTGTAGTACGAACACCATACAGCGGCGGTATGTTGTATGTGTGAGTTACCTGAGTGTCCATTGCACCGATGTACAGCTTGGGGGATGTGCTTCTGACAGACCGCTAGATGTGTCCGCGCGTGTGTGCGGGATGGCATTAGGGGGAAAAACCCAACAATGGACCAGCCGGGTTGCTTATGAAGTTTATGGAAGCGAGGACTCCAAGACAAGTAAACCTGGACAAGCAGGTGTTCCAGATGTGACGGCTTATGGTTCAGGTGCGGAGTCTTTAATATGTGGATTGTCGATGTGAGCATATGGATGGAACTGGCTGGGTGGGTATTCGGCAGGGCACAGGGTGACACCTACAGCAGCTGGCCGGCGACCTAAAGCGCCGGTGTATTCTGTGTGCGCAGTTATTGCCACCTCGGGAAGAAAGGAGTGTCCAGTCAGTGACCCAGAAATGGATCACAACTATTTGCCAATGCCTGGGTGATAGTTTCGGTCTTCTTGTTTAAAAGAGGGACGGCTGCCGGCGGGGGGATGGCCTTCAAAGCCATTTCGACTTTCGGAGCTCTCTTCCTCCCGAGCTCCTCCGCAGCCCTGCTGATGGCAACTCACTCGCATTTCTAACGCACGGTATCCTGCCACTCAGCCAGCCAGGCACTCGCATTTATCCTCTTAAATCCAGTGAGGACTACGAAAGGAATCTCTTACAAGCTTCCCTTCCTTTCTTTGTTTCTCTCTCTCTCAGACGAAGGCGGACGATTGCCGCCGGCGCTCGGCATCCAACACACCAAACAAATACTTTGCAAAAAGACGACAAATAGAGAACATAGCCGTAAACGCCCTGGTCGCGCAAATGAACGGAGGGTCCCTAAGCAACATTTGCTTTGTACGGTTTAAAAGTATGCCGTACTTGGAGGCAACTGCTTGCTGTTCAGGCCGCGCTGCTGAACACGTGCCACATGTCATACGACAAGAGTCCCACCACTCCAGCACACGTTTAAAGGTTTTGATGTCAGGACAGGACGATGGATATGACGTGCCATACCTACTGATGCAATTGATGAGAGGCATAACAGCAAGCTACTTCCCGCGCTTTACAAAATAAAACGATGGAAGGCAAGCGGGAATCGCACTACCAAGTTACAAGTTCCACACACACGTGCGGGGATGTCCGTAAAAGTCGGGGGCCCATGGACGGGAAATCGTTGATAGTGCGGTTACGTGGTGGACCATCATTGTCCTCCCAAGACAAACCTAATTCCTTCCCATAATTTGCTTAAATAATCGCAGAAGCACTTTAAGCAAACAGTTGTTTTGCTTCTGCATTAATCCACACCAAGCCAAGCCCGACCATAACGACTACATAAACCCGCCTAACAGTAAGGCGCCAGGCTTGGAAGCAGTACCGCCTGAGTATTGTCGCTATGCGCGCATGCCTCGAGAAGCAGAGGGCCACTGCGTCGGGTAGAGGTGGAGGGCAGGTGACGGGGTTAGGTGAGGGCAGGTGAACCAGCTTGTCCCGGTGCTGCACGTACTTCTGGAACACATCAGGCCGACCGGGGGACTCCCCACGACAGCTTACGACTACCGTCCTCACCCCAATTTACAAGAAGGGTGACCCCAGCATGCCGAGTAACTACCGGAGCATAGCGGTAGGAGGCGCTATGGCCAAGTGCTACGAGCTTGTTCTCCTGGATAGGTTCGTTCGCATGCTCTGACTTAAGCACCGAGGCCAAGCGGGTCTCAGAAGAGGTTTTGGTACTAATCGTCATCTCTTTGTCAAGCACTGCCTTACTGCTAGGCATAGCCCATGCCCATCTTCACCATCAGCACCACAACGGGCCTCAATTCCCCGCTTGACGCACACGAGCCATTGTGAGGTTTCGAAGCGTGTCCGTTTACAGCGTGGGTTTGTGGCACAGCATGAGTTTTGCGACAGGAGATCGTAGAGGCTCTCTCCAACCCCGAAGGGTGCGGATCAAGGTCATTATACACACACACACACACACACACACGCAAACCTTTACTACTTCTCCGGCCAACAACACGTGACAGCATTCATCCCTGTCATCAGGTACTATATATTTATATTTCGTTCAGAAGTTTTGGGATTCAATCTTTTGTACCACACGATGTGTACAACAAATGGCATGTGTACGGCACCATGTTGAACAATGTAGCGAACAAAATGGCGTCTGCGCTACAATTTAGCACCTGTTAACTTAAAAATCAATCAAACCCAAACACAACAGCTGGGCAGGCGATCAGCGGATGTTGATTCCTTCTTCAAGTCGCCGCCTGCCACGACAAGGACAGTACGGCAATGGACAGCCGTCCCCTAGTTCCCCTCTCTGCCGCCAGATGGGGACGACCACACCATACCTTCGCCTTCCCAGCCATCATCCATTTCTTCTTAATCACTTTCATCATAAATTTAAATTGAAATATTCTTGTTGGATTTCCGCAAATATTTTCACCAGTCATATGCCACTCACGCATCGCACCCTGCCTGCCCACCTCCCTCCTCACCCTCCCCTCCCCCACACCCATCAAGAACAAATTAGCACAGAATCACCATTTATTCCAAAAGCACGCACGACACTCCACCAAACGCTTCTCCAAAATAATTGGAGGAAATACCATCTGAACATACGAAATTACGGCACGCACATGTTCCGAACCCTGCAGCATTTTTTCTCCATAACCCCCTCCCGCCCACCTCCCGCCCACCTCCCGCCCACCTTCCTCCCCCCACAACCCCACAACCACAATCATGCCGACCTCACCCGCGCCGCTCGCCCTCCGCACTTGCCTCACCTTCACCTTCACCTCCCTCGACCACCCATCCAGCCACCCACACCGCCCGCGATGACATCATTTCGCGTTCCCCTTCCCCCTCTCCCCCCCCCCCGAAGGGTCCCTTCTCCCGGGAGAGGGGAAAAAACACCTTCACCTCCTCATCACTCCGTCCGGTCCTTATAGGTTCGCTCAATCCAGTCCGCCAGCGCGTACACATCATCGAAAGTGCTCCACCAGCCCAGAGACGCCCGCACCGAGCCCAGAGGCACCTCCACCCACTTCAGCGCCACAGCAGCGGGGTGCGCCAGGCTGATGTTGGAGTTGGCGATGGAGCGGAGGATGTCGGCGGAGCTGATCGCCTCCTGTACAACACCGCAACACCGCCACCACAACAATAACAATAACAATAACAGCCAACATCATGAGGAGGTTTTCATGCATAACATGTCACAAGTCGTGAATGCTTCTTCTCTGAAGGCTTTAACAAATAATTCGGCATCACCCCCACTCTCCCTGCCCCGCCTCCACCCCACCCCCACTTCCATCGCCCCCAACAGCCCTACGCACCGACCTGGTCCTGGTCGACGGGTCGCTGCACCCTGATGAACTCAACGTCATCCTCGCAGCCCTCCTTCTTGCCCGCCAGCGACTCCACCTCGCTCTCTTGCACTCCCAGGTAGTTGTAACAGGCACCCGGGTTGCACTCCGCACCGGTACGCAGCTGCGGCCGGGTATGTGCGTGTTGTGTGTTGTGTGTGTGTGTGTGTGGAGGAGGGGTAGGGGCGGGAGAGGAAGTAATGGTCAGATTAGCTTCACAGATTTGATTGGCGGTGTAGGTTCTGACGGTTATAGCGACGTGGTTATAAATACCAGAGCTGCCTTATATACGGGGCCTTATATAGTTGAGGGGGGGGGTAAAGATGGTAAGATGAAGCGCTGGCGAGTTGAAGTGGGGGTTTGTAAGGCGGCGAGAGCTAGGTGGCGGAAAGGGGCGATAATAGACACTGCCCTCCGTCAAGAACTACCCTCCGTCGCACTTCCGGGAAGAGACGACATTTAGCTGGGGTTGTTAGGGTTTCAGGGTTTTATAGAGTTTTAGCGGATATATAGCTTTTAGCTGACAGAAGGCACCGGCACCGAAAAGAGACCGCGAGTTCCCCTCTCTCCACACATGCATCCCTCCCCATCTCACCACCTCGTGTAGCACCATAGGCCCAGCCCAACAGCAAAGCCAACACGGCGTTATCATACTTTTTTCATCCTCTTTAAGAACAACCCTTTCTCCTCCGGGCCCCCTCCCCCGATGTCTCTCTTCCTCACCCCCTTCCGAACACCCGCCCCCCCCGTCATTGCCGTACATGAAATCCGGCACCCGCGGCCTCCTTCTCCACCGTCTTGTACGAGAAGATGGATCCATCAGGCTTGAGAAGCTCGAAGTTGACAATTCCTCCCTGGACCTGTGCATTTGCATGTGTGTGCGTGTGTGTGTGTGCGTGTTGTGAGCGGAGGGTGAGTTGTTGCTTTGTTGGTGGTGGTGCTAATGATGGTCGGTAGCAGGCAGGTGACATTGATGTTGGCGTCGATAGTGGTAGTGGTTAGCAGAATCCCCCCATCAACACAGAGACACGCAACACCTCCCACGTCACCTCCCACGTCAACGCTACCCCCCCCCCCACACACACACACAACCAAGACCACCATAACATCCCCCAATCCCACCTCCCAATCCCACCTCCCACACCCCAACCTCACGGCACCCCCACATGCTGCCACGGCACCACATGCTGCACGCACCCATCCACACACACCCATATCTCTCCCACCCCAACACACACACACATACACACACACACGCACACACACACACACATACACACACACACGCACACATACACACATATACACACACACACACGCACGCGCGCACGCGCGCGCGCACCTGTCGGTGGTTCGGCATGTGGTGTTTCCCGAATATGGCCAACATGGGCGCCCCGTTGGAGTGCCGCAACGAGGCCAGACGGCTGTACAGCCACTCCGTCAGACAGGCCACGTGGGCCTGGATCTTAGCGATGCCGCCCAGCTTGGCCATCATGTTGAGCCCGTGCTTTACCGCGATCACGTCCAGAAAGGCCACCTAGCAGCAACGACGGGGTGGCGGACGGGACGAGGGGAGTGGGGGAGAGAGGAATGGGGGAGAGAGGAATGGGGGAGAGAGGAATGGGGGAGAGAGGAATGGGGGAGAGAGGAATGCGGAAAAGTATAAAACGCGGCGACGGGAGGGGCGATGGGAGAGGGCGCGAAGAAATAAAAGAAGGCATTGGAGGAGATGGAAGAGGAAAAGGAAGGAAGATAGAAGGACGCGGAGCACACACATGTATACGTACACATACACACACACTCCCCGCCCGGGGCCCCCGCCAACCCCCGGGTCCCCACCACGAGTTACGCACCGTTCCATCCTCCAAGCGGTCGGAGGGCCGGCACTTGAGTACGTGGAAGTTATCTTCAGAGGTCGCGAGAGCCACCGTGCCGCCCCCCCAAAACACCTTTTGTTGTTGCGGATGAGGGGGGAGCGGAAGGGGGAGGGAGGGAAGGGGGAGGGAGGGCGGGTAAGACGAATCACTGGCAAATGAAGCAGATACCAGATATAGACAGACAGTCCAGGAGGAGGCAGGGGAGCAGGGGGTAGGGGCTTGCCCGTCCTAACGAAGTCGTTGTTGGGGGGGGAGGGGGCATTAGGACTAACCACCATTTACACTGGCAATCCTAAAACCCTAAAACCCACCTTGCGCAGCAGTGGCACCAAATTGGTTTTAATGATGAGGGCTCCGAGACCCGTGGGGTATCCGAACATCCTTAGACGAGGATGGGCGGGGGGGGAAATGGGCAGGAGAAAGAAAGGAGGGACGAGCGCAAAAGCATTGTTACAAGACGTTGAGGAACCGTTACAAAATAGCATTCGGCAGACGATGGGAGGCTGTGGGAGATAAGATAAACCTAGGCAATCAAGACGTCGCCACCGCAAAAGGGAACGAAGCAGAAGGGGACAGGGCTGCCCCCCTAACAGCTCCCATCTCCCTCCCCCTCCCCCCCCCCCCACAGACCCACTCACGCCCACATCATCCCTCCTACTCCCGCCCCACCCAACCCCCTTGTAAACCCCATCCCCACTCACCCGTGCGGCTCCTCTCCCCCCCAAAGAGAAACACACCCGTGCCCTTTCCCCTCCTTTCCCCCTTCCCTTCCCGGTCACATACACATACAGACACATACACACACGCACACACACACACTCACTCTCACTCACACACACTCTCACTCACTTGTAGAAGGACAGGTCGACAAAGTCAATGGGTGTTTGGGACAGGTCCAGGGGCTGTGTGGGCACGTAGGCGGCCGCGTCCACCATGACGAGCCACCTGTGGCTGTCTGTGGATCGCGACTGCACACCACGGACCCAGCTGAGCGGGTACTTCACTCCTGAGGGGGGAGGGGGCGGGGGGGAGAGGGAAGGTGGGGGGCCGGGGTAAGACAAACACACACGATTGAAGCAGGTACCGGAGGTAATGACGGTATACCTCCGGATACTCCTCAAGGATAGACAGATATACTGCAGGAAGTGGGGGCGGTTGCGGAGGGGGAAAGGTCCGGGGTTCCTGCGGCATTGCAAATGCGCACAAACACCAAGACAGCACACTCCGAAACCGACTCTCAGATTGCATTGGAAGACGAGTATCCCAAAAAGATTTTAAAAGGAAACACACACGGACGCGCGCACGGGCGCCGGACGCGGCGGGAATGCCACGCTGCGAAAAACAAACACCGAGAGCCCATAAGAGGTTCCGATTGCCTTTGTGAAAGAGTAAAACACACACACACACGCGCGCGCGCACAGGAAAACACACAACAGAGGAAAGCCACAAGAGGCAAAGCACACGCATGCGCACACTAATGCACACACGAATACACGTACACGCACACATACACACACATACACACACACACCGGCGAAGTTGTCCTCCGCGGGAAAGGCGAAGAGGCTGTAGGTGGGCGCGGGGAAGCGGGTGTTCGCGGGCGAGTGGTCCCCCGCGCTGTCGCCCCTCATGGCCCAGCGGTCCACGAAACTCTCATTCACGGCCTGGGGGGTGGGTGGGCGGCGAGTGGGTAGGTGGTAAGGGTCTAGGGGGGGGGGCGAAAGAAAGTGGGTCGGCGGGTCGGTCGGTGGGCATCATCACGATAATGTGATGGTGCAAAGGAGGGAACAGGACTAAATTCAGGACTAAACCCTTTAAGATCCTTTAAAACCCCTTTAAAACCAGGGACATAGACTGTAGACATCCCAATGGCCAGCCAGCAGCTGAAGACGGGTCCCCAAACGGCAGCCAAAGCAGCCGTCGTCCAGGGATGGGAGTGAGAGCGATGGGAGCTGCTCTTCTCCTTCTCCCCCCTCCCCCTCCAAGCCCACCTGAAATGTTCCCCCCCCCTGGAGAGCGTACTCCCGGATACCCAGGACGCTGTTGTGGTTCTCACGGAGGTACCTTCAGAACGGGGGGGCCGGGGGGGGGCAGGGGAGGGGAGGGGAGGCCAGGGGGGGCAGGGGGAGGGGAAATCATGATGCTGAGGATGCAAAGCGAAATAACAACGCAGCCGAGCAGCCGACATCCAAATTAGGTAATTGAGGGAGAGGGGAGTTGGTTTCGCGGAGAAAAGGAGGAGGTCAAACTGTTCCTGGGAAGATGGATACGGTAACACTATAATTAGGACACGAGAAAATGCATAGGAATGAAGGTTTGTGGATATTATTATTATTATTATTATTATTATTATTATTATTATTATTATTATTATATCTGTTATAATTTTGTATTTTACATATTATAACGGGTGACCTGTGCGTATGGGGGGTTGGGGTTCCTAAGCCTGGACAGTCAAACAAACAGAAGGCCGAGAAGAAGGCCAGCCACCGCACGTGAAAAGGGACCGACAGCAGAAGGCCCCTACTCACTCGCCAACCCCTCACCCGCAACCCATAAACCACAACTACCACAACCACCACAACTACTATGGTTTGCTCGTCCTCTCAACACCCTCCCCACCTGAACATGCTGCCCTCAGACCAGGGAAATGTCTCGCCAACGATCTTAAGTGCGTCGGTTGCAGATTTCGTAAAGACAACCTTTCAAAACAGTTGGGAAAACGGTTAGCGGTTAGTTACATGTTAGTTAGTCTTAGGTGTCCACGGAGTTGGGTAAAGTATTGTCTGGCGCGATAACCGGCCTAATCAAGCCACACCGTCAAGATCAAGCGTTCGGCCAGAACCCTACGATGGGCGACATGATCGGAAAAAGATATGGTCAATTTCGAAATTGTACTTTCAATGGTGTCGTACACACAATAGTGTCGTACTCATAAAATGGTCAATTTATTTACTTTGTAGCACGCACGCATTTACCTGGTAATCTGCGGGGCTCGCGTTGAAGTACTTGAGCACCATATCCCGGACCTCCTCCACTCTGTCGCTTGTGAAGGAGGAGCTAGGGTTTGCGGAGTGGGGGTTCCCGAACATGCACTGTCGCAGCTCCGAAAACACGTTCTCGAGCTGAGTCTGGCAGTACACTGACGAGCCGGTGTAGTCCAAATAGTGCTCGTTAGGGGCCATTCGGCAACCGACCTGTCGGGGGGAGAGGGAGAGAGGGCGGTTAAAAACAGCCGTACTCAGGCAGTGTGGTGGGTGAATGTTGTATGATGTGTTATGTTGTGTTGGTTTTGGCTTTCAGCATGGAAGTTCCCCCTCGTACAGCGCTCTCAAAGCTGGCGCAGTAATTAGGAAGTCCTTTTTGGCGTCAAGGGGGAACCCTGACGGCACTCCCTCAGCCACTACTGTGGGAAGAAATACAAAAATAGTAATAGAATAATATGGAATTATAAAAAAATCCAAAAAATGTCTCTACTTATTGCAAGGCCACAGCTAGGTGATCTACGCAATCCAGTCGTGCCGTACAGTCCCTCGCTCGTTCTCGCGCCGTCAAACCAACCCGCTAGAGCACTAGGCTTCCATAACCGCCAACCATAACCGCCAACCGTAATCTCCGTCTCCAAACGCGGCCTCCATTCCTCTCACCTCCTTGGGATACAGCGAGTCGATGATGCCGCCATAGCCGTACTCCGCAGAATGGCCTTGTAAGAACTGTCGGCGCGCCGCCTCGTACAATGCCGCGTCAGCGCCCGGCGGCGCCTTACACGCCGCTGCCCCCGGCGCCGCCGCCCCAACCAACGCTGATACCGGCAAGTTACTGCTGCTACTAGCCGCCCCAGCACCGTTACCGTTGCCATTACCGTTAGTGGCACTGAGGCGTTGGCCGTTAGCGGTTGCCGCGGCGGCTCCGCTGCCCTTGGCGGTGTCGCCGATGCTGGCGGCCTTCTTGAGTAGGTGGTCGAATAGTCCCGAATGACTTGACTGCAGCTGCTCCACCTCCCGGGCTTTGGCGGCGGCCACGGCGGCGGCCACGTCACGAGAGGGCAACGTGCCGTTGGGCGCCACGAACCTATATCATACATACATACATACATACATACATACATACATACATATACATACATATACATACATACATACATACATACATACATACATACATACATACATACGTACGTACATACACAGTTACAAGCACACGCACACAGAGAAGAGAGCACGAACGGGCGGGGGGGAAGTCGGACGGTCGAGAGCACGGGGAAGCACGGCTTCGGAGTGTACCTCTGTACGGCCAACACCGCCGTAGTCGTACATTACATGAAGCCATGCATGCACATGCTCTGGGTAGGCAGCGAGGAACACATGTCCTATATTCTATGTTCTGTAACGACAGCATCAATGTACGATAGCGCCACAAGACAGCGCAAATCTCAGGATGTTTGCCAAAAAGCCGGGAGTTGCCCTCCCGGACAGACAGACACGTCAACACAGGACAACCACCGCCTCAAACAGGCCCCATCGACAGAAGAAACACATGCTAACTGCTGCAGTGTACGACATGGACGTACGACAAGGCAATGTTCGTACCCGTTTGGGTCGAGTGCAAAGGCCATCCCTGGGTTGCCGGCGATGACATTCAGGTTGGCCTTCAAGAAGCGAATCTGGGGGAGAGAGCGGGCGGGAAGGAAGGAGGGAATGCTAAGGAAGTAACAGGATGGTTTGGGTTTTAAGATTTCACTACCAGGCACATTTTAAGGCGCGTCCGACAGCGCGAGCAGCGTCTGATACAACGCATTAGTTTTTAAAAAATTTCCAACCGATAGCAATGCACGGCACTTCAGAAAAAATGGCATCACATAGCAGACCCAGTTGCTCTTTCAAGGGAAACAAACACAACACACGCAGTTTAAACGCAGGACATTAGTCCTCTTCCAGCGCCGCATGGCACATATCCCGAAGCTACTACATACCCCAAATACCCCCCCCCCCAGCTCCATGTCCCATAGCAGCCCTCCCCTTAAAAAAAACACATCGCTTCGACCCCCACCACACAAATCCGTCACGGTCTACACACCGATATACAACCAATAAAACTTGCCGTACTTTCGTTACCGTACCTTGGAGTACGGCACGTCGATGGAGATCAACTGGCCATACCCGGGCTTATAAACGAGCATGCGCGGCAGGGCCGTGACTCCCTCATTCTTAGCGAGCGTCTTGAGCTCGTCCACGCAGGCCTGTCGGGACACAGCAGCAGCAGAAGACCAATGTGCCAGGGGCAATGTACGACCCGGGGGAGGGGGGAGGGGAGGTTTTCGACTCGCCCGAGAACGGGTGAAGGGAATGACAACCCGTTGGGGAAGGGGGGGTGTTGATACGATACAATGTGAAGAGATAGGCGGCGGGGAACGCCATATCCAAGCTCGCGCAAACTTCTGACCTCTACACCTCCACCACAGGCCCCGCCCCATGCGCCATGCCCTTCACCTCACATACACCGCCACACTGCGTCACGCCCCACAGCATTACCCGAGCCGCTCCCGCCACCACCCATCGAATCCGCTCCCCTACACTACCTTGACAAATTTGTATTTTTTCCGAAGTTCAGGGTCACGAATTACGCGGCAAATCTCCGGGTAAGCCTTCTCGCAGCCATGGCACCTGATTTGGGTGGAAGTGCGGTACGTGGTTTGTAAATGGTGTCTGCGACGTGGGAAGTGATCAGGCAACATATCAGGCAACATGCGCTGGGCGGCGGGCGCGGCGTGTGTCTGGATGTGCCTGAAGCGGTGTGCTCCAAGGGGTGTGACTTGCGGCCAATGACACGACCCGGGGGGAAGTGTTTGTGCGAGAGTGTGTATGTGTGTGTGTGTGTGTGTGAGAGAGAGAGAGAGAGAGAGAGAGAGAGAGAGAAAGGAAAGGGGGCAGGGAGGGCGAAGGTCACAAAGGACGAGGGACACTAGAGAGGGTGGGGCCTGGACCCAGCCATTTGGGTCAGCTAACTTGGATTGGCGCCGATGCTGATGCTGATCTGTACAACACACCGAATCCAGACCGCTTCAGATCAATGCAGGGAGCCTGCGTGCCGGGGTTCTGACGAAAATACTACTTGTAACCTCGACATGCGGTTGTTGGTTGGTTGGTTTGATTTGCGAGGGACACCTCACAGATCATATGATACGTACCAAGTTGCGAAGAAGTCCACCGCCACGAGCTTGTCCCCGCTGCTAACCTGCGAAATGGTTGGCCATATTCAGTCGTATGTCAGGGAGTGATTCTCCTTGCAAGGCCTTCCTGGGAAGGTCTCCAACGTTACAGAAAAAACGCCACTGAACGACGCATCGAATCAAAACGCTGAGACTGAATTTATGTGTTTTGGTGAGAGGAGCGGCATCACATGACTCACTTCCCGATGGAAGTCTTCTTCGGAATGTACTTCAACCCACAAATCCTTTTCCTGATTCCACCATCGTTTATCTGCAGCAATTGTTGTTCCAGAAACCTCAGGTGTAGCTGCGCTGGGCGCGGGGCCACGTTGCTGGTTGAAAGGCGTGGCTACACTACGTCCTGCAAAGCCAGGCCCGGCCATGCTGCAGGTATCGCCTTGAGACGTGCATGTTGATGTAGTAGCTGGTGGCTGTGGAGCGACAGTTGCTGGCCGCGGAGTGGCAACGCTATAAGGCCGATGCCGTGAAGGCACCGTCGTCCGCAGCACCCTCATTGCGTCCTTGTACAGATGATGGCCGAAACACGTTCGCCTAACTGGGGTGCCTCTCTCCTGGACAGGTAGCACCAATCCAATACAAATGGCTAACACTAGGAAAGCAACGCGTAGCAGGTGTCCTCTGACACCTGGTCGTTGTCCTGAGGCAGGCTTTGATGCTGCTTCCATGGTCTGTGGTGCGCTAGTCATGGCGACTTGTCTCGGAAATTGTCGTATGCAGCGCTCGGGAAGCACTTTATTGCGACATGGGACGGCAATTGGCGCGACATCCCCCATGCATGCAATTTTTACTACCGCTAGGAAGGGACACGCACTACATATTAGAGTGCATAGCTTCCTTTCGGCTGGGCTCGCGTCCGCGCCGTCCGGGTTACGCGACTTCCCCAAACTGCTCATCTCTGGTAGTGCATCCTTATTAAAACTCCAGGATACCAAATCCTTGGTTAATTCGTTCCATAACGCAACTGGCGTGCACGCAAGCTTGCCGTCCAGCAAAATGTCAACTAAGCCCTTTACGATCGGTGGCATTGGCGCGCAGCCCAGCCTAGATGACGTCGTTAAAATTGCACAAGGCGGCCTTGTTGTCGCTTTGGATGCCGCTGGTGCAGAACGCGTCAAAAAGGCGTCGCCGCCGCCAAAGTCCTTCCAGCCCGAATCCATCGAATCCCCATCACCAACCAACGCAGCAGAACCCCCGGCCCTCGACGAAGCCCAGGCTCGTGCAGTCTTAGCAACGCGTTTGCTCACGGTCATGAATGGCACCAGCGGCACGCGCGTCCAGGTTGCAGAATTCATCGTCTCGCTCCTCAACAAAAACATCCTTCCCACGCTCCCCGCCTCCCCAACCGACAAAGAAGTCCTCTCCCGCCTAGCTGACGCCTGCCACGGCACTGGCTCGGCCCTGCTTCCCTCCTCCAACGGCGACACCGAAACCCCCTCACCGGCCGGGGCACCTCTCACGAACGCGCTGGCAGAGGCGGGTATCACCACCCCTGGACTCAGCGCGACGGAGCGCGTGGTGTTGACCACCGGATGCTCTGCGGCCGCGGGCGTGGCCGCTCTGGCGGTCCAGGGAGGCAAAAAACTGCTCACAATTGCCACAGCCACAACAGCGCTTTCTTGCGAGGCACTGGGTGTGCAGGTGCGCAGCTGCCACCGTCCTATTCGGTCCCGCATTACCGGGAATTCAAAATATAAGGCGGCGGGGAAGATAAAAATCCGTCTGTATCGGGCACGATCCTGGAGGAGTTTCCGGATCTGGGTCCGGTCCGCGTGTTCGTGTTGCTGGGGAAAATCATTGGAAGAGACCCTTCTGGGTGTTCTTTCCGGTCGCGTCCTGCTGCGTGTTTTGCTGTCGCGACCTCACGTCCCTGTGATTTCCCTCACCCGCCAACCGGCCCCCGGCCCGCGTTGACCCCTAGTTACTTCCTGATTTCATCTGGGTCACATGATTTCTATCGTATTTATGCGTGGCTTTCCATTCTCCACTAATGTCATGCCTGGTCTGGCTCTTTCGTCCCTCCTGCTGTTGCTGCTCCAACATCACCACCTCACAGCAAAAACTCACACATGTACACTGCACCTGTACCCGCACTCCAACACCTTTCCTCCGCCAAGGACCTCCCTCTCCATAAATGTTGACTTTTATCGCATATGATTCCTCCCACCCGCCCCTTATTATTGTGATATATCCTGGCGCCCTCCTACAGACGAAGTCGTTCGAGGCCGATGTGGTGGAGTCCCAGGGCTACAAATCAGCAGTGGTGGTAGCGGACGAGCTGCTGGGGCTTCTGGAAGGTTCTAAGCGAGTGGATACACTGAAGGGGGGGCCTGGGGCGGAGCAACTGGCTCCGTTCACGGCAGCGCCGCAGGTACGATTGTCGACGGGCTTGATGGTGGCGCGGACTAGCTGTATTTGTTGACGTTGGTCGAGTCTGGCACCTGCTGGGGTCGTGACCATAATTACCTCGTTGCCACACCAGCATATCGCCCTCTTGGGCCTGGCTGGCTACTCCTGGCTTCTGATCCTCCTCGGTCATCTCCCGAAGCGCTCAGCACAGCTACCTACTCACGAAATTTAGGGTTTTAGGGCTTTGAACAAATGAAATAGCTATCTTGTTTTCGGTTTCCTTCCTGACCCGTGCCCTTCCCTTTCGGCCTTGTTGCATGGTGTCGACCCGGCCCGCCACCGTCTTCCGTCCCCCGGTTCGTTTACTCGTTCGTGGTTCGTTTTTTCCCCGGTTCCTGTCCGCTGAAGCACAGCGACTTGGGGCGCTGGGTGAGGCCCTGTCGGCCGCGTACAGCTGTGTGCGGAGCGAGGTGCAGAGCGGGGCGCTGCCGCCCAAGGTACATATGGGGGGGTTTTGGTGGTGGGGGGAAAATGGTGGACAGGGCCGTGATGGGACAACGATGGCTAGTGCGCGCTGGGCTTCTCTTTTCCCCCAAAACTCGAAAGCCACAATGAATTGGAAAGGACGATTATCAGACAAAGAGAAAAGTCGAAATCCAGGCAGGCAAGCTTTTTGGATTGGGAGTTGCCGAATGGGATGTCCTGTGCTGTCGGGAAGGGGTTGATTACACGGCGGTGTCAATCTTCTTGAGTCGAGGGTCATGCTCTTCTTCCTCCTCCTCCTCAGGCGCTCCCCTCCGTTTCCCCGCCCTCCCTCCCTCGTTCGTGGTTCGTCTTTCCCTCCCTCCCATCCACCATCCATTCCCTGGGGTCCCCCAGGGCCTTACGCCCGTATCCGCCCCCTCCCCAGTACTACCCACCTCCCTCCTGGACCTGAGCCGGGCTCTGATCGCTACCGGGAGGGACAGCATCGCCAGGGCTAAAACCGTAACCGCGAGATTAACCGCGACCGCTGCGGGGCCGGCTCTAGGGGAGGCAGCTTCTGACGGCTCCGCCGCTGCCCCGGCGGCGTCGCTGTCGGCGGTTCTGGAGCAGCTGGCGGCAGTGGAGGGCAGGCTGGCGGCGGCGCAGCGGCAGATGGCGGCAGTGGGCCAGGCGATGCTTGAGGACGTGGACGCGATGCCGGGTGAGTGATGGACGGTGGTGGTGGTGCTTGGATGACCCGTGGGTCTGTGGGTGCTGTGGCTGGATGAGTAAAAGGGCGGGTGGCTTGGCGGGTGGGTGGGTGGATACAAGGCCGGATATGGAGGGTTGGTTTTGAGTGAGTGGTGTGGATGGGTGGATGGGAGACCCATGGGTCAGTTAGCACCATCGGCCGGGATACGAAGTAGGGGTTTAAGGGTTGGGGATGTCGGTGCGGCACGGGCGATGCATTCAGGGACCCCCTCCTTGTGGGCAGTGGATATATCCCACCCTTTGCGTCTCCAAACCCGAACCACACCAATGACGTGAACGCGATGCGATACCAGGTGATGTGACATGAACTCAACCTTTTTCTTTGCTTCCTCTATTTTTAAGTTCTTTCCTCTCGCGCTCTCTCTCATCCTCCCTGTTCTCTTTCTTATCTTGTTTCTTGCATGTGAATCTCCCGTGCTCCCCCGCCCCGCAGCGGTTCAGGCTGCCCTGGCTGCCAGTGCGGCTATCCAGGCTTCTAGCGAGGCGGTGGCCTTGGAGGGCCTGGCGGCGGTGATGAGCCTGAGGGCGCTGGAGGTGAGTGACACCGGCCGCGAGACCCGCTTCATTTGGAACATTTCTTTAGTTGTCAGTGTCGGCGATTTCTGCCTTTACCTGAGCTCCCTTCGAGCGGTTTAGCGGTTTGTGGGTTGGCTACGGTTATTTCCTGGAGGCAGCAGCAACAGCAGCAGCGTGATCGGGGCTATGGCAGCGGTCCTGGTGATGCGGTATTACTTCAGGACGGAAAAAGTGCACGCGAGCGGCGCTGTAGCAGTACGCCGTGCTCGCTGCTTTAGCAGCAGCAGCAGCAGCTGTTGCAGCGGCTGTAAAACAGCGATGGAGGATACACCAGCAGCAGCAAGTAGAGGAATTTATGGGGAAACTACGGATGGGAAATCGCTGTTAGGTGGGCGGTTAGTTGGGGTGGCAAAAAGCGAGCATGCGTCCCTGAATCTTCAACTCCCTTAGAATTTTCCAGGGTGTCCTCCGTGGGTCATGGCCAGTCCCTTGGTCTTTCTGTTGCTAGCGTTACTAATATGTTATTCTGAGCGCGACGGTGCGCAGGGCCCTCCTGCGCCGCCGGCAGCGGAGGCCGCCGTCGGCTCGGAGGCGGCCGTCGGCGGCAAGGGCGGCGGCAACGCCGGCGGCAAGGGCGGCGACAAGAAGAAGGACCGGAAGGGCGCCGGCAGCGGCGTGGTACTGGGCAAGGGTACGGCACTGCTGCGGTCGTACGTGGAGAGGGCAGCAGCGGAGGCAGCGGGTGAGTACGACACCTGACCACAGACTCTCCATGCAAACCCTTACCACATGCGTTCTCGCTACGTGCACTCTTTATCCCCCCCCCCCGTCACACACACACACACACACACACACATTCATTTGCCAGTTCCTCTCATCGCAGCTCAGATCATCAACGGACATTCACCCTTGCCACACACACTTTTAATAATTCAGGTGCGGCTGACGGCCTTCTCCTGCCGGGGCTCTTACTCCCGCCCACCTCCGTCCCATCCGCCTGGGTGGGGGCCCATAAGGCCCTGGAACCCCTGGGCTCGGCGGCTGCCAAGTTCCTGGACGAGCTGCGGGCCGTGGTGGAAGCAAACCAGGTCAAGGGGGGGAAGTTGGGGGTTGGCGGCGTTGGGGGGCGGTGTACATTGGGAAGGGAAAAGGGGGTGGGAAAGATGTAGGGGTTGGAGGGTTGTTGTGTTGGTTGGGTGGGGTAGGTGGGGAGAGAGGGGGGTCATGTGCGGGTTACGGGCGGTGCGGGAGCTGCTGCGCACCGGGATGTGGGGGTAAGCCCCCATCAAGCCTGAGGGGGTGCGTCCCCTCCTGCCCTCATCCCTCGCGCGCACAAGCCAAAATTATTATTATTTTTATTTATTTATTTATTTATTTATTGAGGTTGAAGATTTAGGGTCGAAGTTATGGTGGGCAATCACTTGAATCATCACCTCGGACTCCGGTCTTAATGGTGGTGCAAACTTAAAAAGTCATTTCGACATTTGTTCCTTTCTGAAGTTGTGTATGTCATCCCTACCACTCCTGTGATATAAATTCCTTCCGCTCCCCTTCCCCCCTCCTCCCCTTCACTTGTGTGTGGTTCGTCTTTCCCCCCCTCCTCCCATTCATAACTTACAAATATTCCTTCAGTATATGTCTATCTTTGATATCTCTGGTATCAACAGACAATGGTCGTCTTAGCCCTTCCCGCCCACCCCCATCCACAGGCTCGTCGTAAGCCCAAGATCCCCAAGGGCACGCGGGACTTCCTGCCCGAGCAGATGGCGATCCGTGAAAAGGCGTTTGCCATCATCGTGTCCGTGTTCAAAAAGCACGGCGCGGTGGCCATTGACACACCGGTGAGCCGGGGGGGGAAGGGGAGTATGGGGTTGGGGAAGGTGGTCGAGGGGGAAAGAGGAACCACGAACGAGTGAAGCTGATGCCAACTGATGCCGAGGGGGGGGCCGCCCTCCCCAAGGTGGATGATTGTTGCAACACCAGACGTACAACCGCTATAACCCGTGACAACACCGCAAACAAACAAGTTCCTGTTCGCAGTATCTGTCTATTCCCGGTCTATTTCTGGAGCATCCGTCTATCTTTGATATCAGCCTCACTTGTCTGTGGTTCGTCGTCGCCCCCTTCCCGCCACACACACACACACTCTCTCTTCCTACACACACCCATACACTCCCCCCCCCCAGGTCTTCGAGCTTCGTGAGACGCTGATGGGGAAGTACGGCGAGGACTCGAAGCTCATTTACGACCTGGCGGATCAGGGTAAGTCAGGGTGAGATGGGAGCCGTGGTGGCGGGTCGGAGGTTGGAGGTTGGGGGTCTGATCAGGGGGGGGGAGGGACCCCGTGACCCCCTTTTTCTTGCGTTCCCCGAAGGGCGGGTGTCTACGCCGGAATCGCCGTTTCGTCATGATTTTTTATTCGGGAGACCAATTCCCCATGTCGTCGGAGAGCTTGTTTTGGCTTTACCTTCCTTGTCGTTGTTCTCTTCGGTGCTGGATCTTTTTATCGGGTCTTATATTTTCACGGACATAAGGTTGTGTTGGATGTAATGTATGTCTTCATTCTCTTCATCCCTTTCCCCTACCCGCCACATCCACCCCACCCCTCCCCTCCCCTTACCCCTACCCCTGGCCCCCATACACGCATCACACCTTTTTCAGGTGGCGAGATTCTTTCCCTACGGTACGACCTGACGGTTCCGTTTGCTCGATTCGTTGCCGTACACTCCATTGGCAACATTAAGCGATACCACATTGGCAAGGTAGGGGGTTGGGGGTGGGGGGAGTTGGCGGGGCGTACCTTTGCGGACGGCAGTTGTGCCCACCCTTGCTGAGTGCGAGGGTGGGCACACATTGACCTTACTGCATTGGGTAATAGGGTGTAGTGATGTTGGGGGCCCGGGGGCCGAGAGTCAAAAGTGGACGAACGTCTTTCAGCCTCGTAGTGCTCCTACTACTGCGCACATGCTGCTGCACTCTGTATTTCCTTTCTCATGCTTCTAAATGGCCTGTGGACTTCTGGGTTTTTTGTGTATCGTACTTCCATAGCTGTTCCCTTGCTCGTACAGAGCCTGCTGTGCGTTGTTTTACGAATGCTGAATGCTACTGCTGCCGTACTTGTAATTGCACGTGATCAGGTTTATCGCCGTGATCAGCCCCAGATGACCCGGGGTCGCTTCCGGGAGTTCTTTCAATGCGACTTTGACATTGCGGGTGAGGCGGAGTGGGCGGGAGAAACCAAAGGGGTAGAGGGGGGGGGCAAATGCCAGCGAAGGAATGGGGGTTGAAAAGGGAAGGAGTTGATGCGTAGGTGTGTTTTTGGTGTGGTGGTTTGGAGGGAAGGAGATGAGGTGTGTGTGTTTTGCTGCGGATTCGTGAGAACGTTGGGCAGTTGGTTCTCAGGCTAGATTTCATTTCGTTTGTAGATTTGTTTTTGCAGAAAAAAACACGTAATAATAACATATAATTACTGCCCCCCTCTCTCCCCCCTCTCTCTCCCCCTTCCCTCCCCTTTTCTCCCCCCTCAGGCGCGTACGCCCCCATGGTGGCGGATGCCGAGATCATCAAGGTGCTCACGGAGATCCTCACAGATCTACAGCTCGGGAAGTTCGAGGTGAAGATAAACCACAGGGGCTTGCTGGATGCGATGCTGGCGATTGCAGGTGGGCTTTTTCGGGCCCGTGTTTTTCCGTTTTTAAATATCTGTTTTAGAAAATATTAATTTTTAAAAATATTAATTTTTAAAAATATTAATCAACACATTTAGTAATCCTTTTGAATTTGTTAAAATGAAACAACAAGGAATCTAGTTTGTCTTTTCGTGGTGAGAAGTTTTCAGATATTGTTTACTATTATCAAAAGCTCAAGATGAATGGGGATGGGCAACACGGGTGGATACACGAGTGTTCGTGAAGTGGAGGGCAGGGTGTTGGCTGAAGTGGAGACGAGACGCTTAAGTTTGTCCGTTGGGAAATGAAAAGGGGAAAGTGGGGGTACATCATCACCACAATCATCATCACCATCATCATCATCATCATCATAATAATAAATAATAATAATGATAATAAATAATAATAATAATAATAATAATATAATAATAATAATAATAATAATAATAATAATCACGATTTTCGACTTCCCTAACCCATCTGCACCCCCACCCCCACCGCCACCCCCACCCCCAGGTGTGCCCCCGCAGAAGTTCCGACCCATCTGCTCGGCCATTGACAAACTGGACAAGGAGCCTTGGGAGATTGTACGGCAGGAGATGGTGGTTGACAAGGGCCTCCCGGAGGAGGTCGCAGACGCCATTGGTCGTTTTGTCGTACTTCGGGGGGAGCCTCTGGAGCTCGTCCAGCAGCTGCTGGCTCCGGACCACCCGCTGTCTCAAAACCCTATGGTGCGCGTGTCGTGTGTGTCGTACAGGGCCGAGGGGTAGGGAGTGATGGTGGGGAAGTTGGCGATGATGGAGGGGTTATAGGGGAGTATGGCCTATGTTCCTATCTGATGGTTTCGGGTTTTTGCACTACAGAAATGGTCTAGGGTTCCCTTTTTGTTTCCCTAAAGGGCACAGACACCCCTACAGAGGTTTCATCAGAAAAGGCTCCGTTTGGTTCCCCCCAACAAAGGGGACACAACGTCATCGTCCCTAAAGGGAATGATGGCAACCCTAGGGTTTGGAAAGGTTGTTGTCCCTGAGGGGGACGCGGTGATCGCCTGGACCTTTGGGTGTCCCGAAATTTCCATCAAGCTTGGTGGTTTTCCCCGTCAGAGGAACAAGAAGGGGAGCCGACGGCACCCAAGGTATGAACAGCGAGAGATAGATGTGCGGGTTTCGTGGTTTCGGAGTACCCACAGTCGCAACACGCGATGATTTGCGGTTGTCAGTCAATCAATAATTTTATCCTTATTCATCATCATCACCAGCATTCATATTATGGTTCCCCCTTTCAACCAATGGTTCGCCTTGCCCCCCATCTCCGTCGTCGGTTCTCACTTCTCACTTCTCCCACTCTCCTCCCGTTCGCTCCATCACGTCACGTCACGTCAGGGCAAGGCAGCTCTGGACGACTTGGCGGCCATGTTCAATATGCTGCAGGTAACACTGATGATGGTGATGAAGGGCTGCTACATCGACATGCTTGTCCTCTCACCCCCTAGTACGACGACACGTTGATATGGGTCTCGTGCTACTTGTGCTAGTTGTGCAATTTCCGAGGGTCACAAAGCGTGTGTGTGTATAGCGACCGCTGTTTGCTTCATGAAGGATTATTACCTTCATGATGGTGAGGATGGTGAGGGTGATGATGATGAACAGAAACTGTGCTGCTGCTGCTGTTACTACTGCTGCTGCTGCTGCTGCTGCTGTTGCTGTTACCGCTGCTGTTACCGCTGCTGTTACCGCTGCTGTTACCGCTGCTGTTGGTGGCGTGTACTGCAGGCCATGGGCGCTCTGGGCTCCCTCACTTTGGACCTGTCACTCGCCCGCGGACTGGACTACTACACGGGGGTGATCTACGAGGCGGTGCTGCACGGCGCGAATGTGGGCTCCATCGCGGCCGGTGAGGAGGAGGAAGGGGGGGGATTAGCTATCGCAATATCACCCGGGGAAAGGGTAATTGTGGTGATGTGGGTTGTGGGGGTATTAACAGTAGTGGTGGTATTGTCAGTAACCGGACTACGGGGATATTATTGTTGTTGTTGATGATGTTGTTGTGTGTGTGTTGGGATGGGATGGGATGGGATGGGTTGGGGGGGTGTTGAAGTGGGGGATGTGGGTGTTCTCTGGGTTGGAAGGGTGTGGAGGGCTCCCGGGGGGATGGCCCCGGGTGCGAGGTGCCTGTCGCGCGGGAAATAATTCTCTTCCAGTTACTAACTGCCCGATGTCTGCGGTCTGCGACTCGTTTGCTTGTTGTTGCCACTTGCATTTGTAAAGGGAGAAGTTCCGGTGACCTTGGGAAAAGTTTTTTCATGTTTGTACGACAGGTGGGCGGTACGACAAGCTGGTGGGCATGTTCAGCGGCAAGGACGTGCCGGCGGTGGGCGTGTCGATTGGCATTGAGCGCGTGTTTGCAATCATGGAGCAACAGGTGAGCGAGTGAGTGAGCGAGTGAGTGAGTGAGCGAGTGAGTGAGCGAACGTGTAAAAAAAGGGGATGAAGGCATTCCACACATCACATGCGCACCTCCGCTCGTACCCCCGTCTCTCCTCCGCGTACACACACGTGTTTTCCCCTGTGTGCACGTGCGCATGTATGTATGTACATACGTGTACAGGTACGGGAGCGGGCCGCCGCCAGCGGTCGACCAGTGCGCGCCATCGAGACGGAGGTACTGGTGGCATCCATTGGGAATGGCCTACAGGTGTGGCGTACGGCAGATACAGCGTACGGAGTTGGGGGAGGACCGAGACAATGTCGGGAGTTGCGGGGCCGCAGTAAAAGGCGGTCGCGGGGGGGAAGGGGTCGATGTGGGTTGTCTGTCCTTTCTCCAACACGCAGAGAAGCAGCAGAAAGAGAACGACC